CCCGGGGGGGGGACTCCCTAATATCAAAGGGCGGGGGTCCTCGGCGGAGATTGTGAAAATGACCCCTAAAAGGGACCTCTATTGCGAGATGATGGGCGTGGCAGTGCTGAAATTTCAACCCTGTTTTGGTTTACCGATTTTATTTGTGTTTTTACACAATCATCGAACACCGTCGGCTCGTATTGAGTTTATGATGACGTTGCCATTTTATGACTGCTTAGGGTCGCCGTATACCCTAAAAGGGACCACAAAACTCAGCTGGTAGGAACTCTTGTCATGAACACCCTAAGCGGGACCAAAATACTGATTTCAAACCCTAAAAGGGACGCCGAGGACCCCCGCCCTTTGATATTATGGAGTCCCCCCCCGGGGGTCTTTTCGTCGCAATACTAGTCGATTACCTGTCAAATCAAGCCGACAATGGCAACATAACTCGAAGATTGATACGGAACGATACATGTACGATGAATCAAATTATATTTACTTAATAAAGACACTCGAAGAACAAATGAAAACCCACACCAAGAAGATCTCACGCATGATCTTGAAAACTGGTGACATCGATGAACACATTACGAACAAGTCCTCGTACAAGTTATCCTTTTTCGAAAAACTAGTGTTATCGCGTAATTCGAAGAGGTTCAATATATATTATGAGGGTGGGTAGGCCAATGCATCTCTCCGTGTATCACCGTCTCAAAAGCCTTCGTCAAAACGGTTGGCATTACGTTCGCACAGCCAATATTCGTGGCATCAAAAGGTTTAGAGCAAAATGTTACGGAAGAGAAAGGTCCCTCAAATTCCTAAATGGCAAGCATCTCGTAAAACATCACAAATGGTGGACAAACAAAAAGCATATGGCTATATTAAGAGCTAACATTGGAAGAAATCACTATCCAATATATTCTCGAAATAGACAGTTTTACCTTGTAGACCTTCACAAAAAGAAACACCCTGTCATACCAAGAAATCGTGGATTGACGATATATGCTAATGGGAAGAACAAGCTTATCCACTATAAGCAATTGCAACTACGATACGACAACCATTGGAGAACATTCATGCAATGCTGTAAGATCCTTCGTGTTCGATTAAGAGGTAAAGCGCGCGAAGTAAGTTTGGATAATGGAAGGTTGAGGATTAACGTCGAGGGAAAATTCGTTGACGTTGGAATATTTGAACAATCTCTTGGCCGCCAAAGACGAAGACGAGGAAGATCCAAGAAATCATATAAGAGCTGGGCATCACGTACCCACCGCGGCAATCGAGGCTGGAGATATTTTGGTAAAAAGAGTAAAATCCCAAAAGGTATGCAATGTCTTGATTATTATTTTCCTTTGTGGACACAGAACGTTTTAATACAATCTTCCATCATAATTTCCTTTTATTTGGATCCCCTGCATAAGTACCTCACCTAACCCACGCTTCCACTTCTTTTCATCCAAACTACAATCTTCGATTTTCCGAATATTTCTGACTTGTCCAAGCCGACTGCATGCAAGATAGCAGAGACTTCTGGCTAATTGCTATAGATGGCGATCCTGGCTTTGCCATGATTTTCCACTGTGTTCACAACTTTGCATAAAAAGCCTCAAATCTTTCATAAAATTGTTTTTTTAGTGGAATTTCGTATAATCCGGTCACAGTGGAATCGAAGCATGCATTTTGAGTAGTGGAGAAAAGTATGGGGTAAAATTTGCAGCTTTAAAATATTGCCGAAATATAACACAGTGGTTGAAAAATGCGGGTGGACATAGAACGTTGTGTTTTCCTTTATGTTTACATGTTATATACTTTTAAAGTCATTGACTGATTCTTGTACTGATCAGATTTATTGTGTCTTGAACGTTTTAGCGGACCCTAACGAACCGATCTCTCCACATCTGTGAAACCGTAGGAATGATCACGCCTATCGACAAATTGCATAGATACATAATGGAATAATGGATACATAACCTTCATGCCTTTAGAGCGGAAGATAAATTGAAAAACCAGACGTGACGGCACAGCAATGATGTTATTGTTTTGATCTTATATAATTCACAAAGCAAAATGAATCTCTTTCCCCTTATGACACCGGTAATTGCAGAAACGTTGTTAAGAAATAGGGTGACCACTTTCAAGTGTCATTTTATAAAATCGATGGTAGGCACKTATAGAAACATTCATCACTGTGTCCCCATAGATGAAATATGAGAAATGTTTGAACTATGAGAGACTATGAGAGCTATGAGAAAGCTGAAATCATGGGCTAAATACTAACTAAATACAAGGCTGTTTTAAGCATGAAATTCTTCCCAGCCTTGGCAGCCTCGTTTAGGCGTTTTTGTCAGCATCATGGATTTAACGATGATACTGATGGAGGTTAGTGTCGGCCATTATGAAAGTTATCAATATCGTTTATTTTTGATATTACTTTCATAATGGCCGACAGGAATAAGGCAAAAGAGGTAGTCGTTTCCTTTCTTTCCTTTTTTTCTCTATAACAACATTTTGCATTTAGATTTATCCTTCTCTCCCTTGCCACGAGGGTTTTTCTCTGGGTGCTCTAGTCCAGTCCTGGCCTCTCGTTTCCAACGCTCGCGGAATCGCTGGGGAAAGAGAGTCCAGTATAACTTGCATGCGCATGACAGCTTAGCGACCTCGTGATTACCACACCGATGTGGTAATCACGAGGTTACCTAGTCCTATACAATTACCAAGATGGCGGAGAGCGCGGTGGAAGGTAGTTTCCACTTGAAATACAAAGATAATTTTGGACCGGCTTTTATAAATGCCATTAGTTATGCCTTAAAAAATGTAAATACTACTTCAGTGTAATCACCGTAAGCACTATAGAGAACCGAACGCCTGGCTGGAGCGCAAGTTTTAGTGCAAAACCTGCAAGCCGAAGCTACCGCCATTATTTTTCGAATGGTCCTTTTCGAATTTTTGACAGAATATAGCRTGCACGTGAAGTAAACAAACCACTGACCATTATAAATTGCGGGCTCTCAAAATTCAACTTTATTCTGATTGGCTGGTCCTGCACATGCGCATGCAAGTTATACTGGACTCTCTTTCCCCAGCGATTCCGCGAGCGTTGGAAACGAGAGGCCAGGACTGGACTATGGGTGCTCCGGTTTTCCTCCCTCAGTAAAAATCAACATGTGTGCTAAAATAATTAATGTAGAGGTAGTGAGTGTGAGAGTATAGGCCATCCGAAGTAATTGTGGCTCACACTGTTGCGGTGTCCCTGCCCATACTAGGGGCAAAGCTAAATATAAAAAAAGAAAAAAACTTTTTACCGTTGTAGCAGGGTTGAATCTTTTAATTTGACATCCCTTCGACGACCAAATTAAAGGGACACTGTCAATGGCACGCATGCGCGAGTAAACTTGAAAACACTAGGCTAGTGTTTTCAAGTTTATGGAGGTAGGGTTGTCGTACGTATTCCATATATGGTATTAACTAACAAGCGTATAGAGGCCCCTAACAAGCGAATAGAAGCACCTARCAARCGAATGGCGGCCCCTAAGGAATCCCAATTTACCGGTGCTATTAGCAATGCAAAATACTTTAAATGTCACAAACAATTCGTTGTTTGCCAGCGTAATCTCTCGTGGTCAAGTTAGTTAAGGCGCTTTACATTTGTAGTCGAAGGGTTAGGTTTAGGGAAAAGGACGGGTCAGGCTATAAAATGTTAAATTCATAATTNGGCAGAAATGTTTAAAGGGACATGGTCCACCAGCATCCCTTCCGAGTTTTTTTTTATGTTTGAAAATAGAAGTACATCATAATATAATAAAAAAAACTTACTTTTTTTTTTTCCTTTATCCTATATGAATGCAGATGCTTTTAAGATTCGACCGTTTTTTTTTTTGATGGAATCGATATTCGAAGTCACCTTATTTTCCATACTATGAAAATTTTTTTTTACGACCGCATTGCATGCTAGTGGACCATGTCCTTTTAAAGAAATATTTTTTTTTTTATGGAGGATTGAAAATACAATGATATTACCAATACATTGTTTGTTTTTTTTTTTTTGTTTTGTTTTAGCATTTTGTTTTTTTGTTGTTTATTAGCTTCAATTTTTTTTTCAATGCAAAATAAACATGGTTGGGCTACCTGTGTTTTATGCGAGTTGTTAGTACCCAGCTTTCAAGGCCGGGTTTGTTGATGTTCATTCACTGTCGTTTCACCGTCTGCGTCGCTACAGTAAGAAACTAAGCTTATCATATTTCCTTCATTTTATCTTTTTTTTTACCGATAATTCAACGTCTTGGTCCGAAGTTAAAGTGACTAACATTATTTTTTTTTAATGGCATCTTTCGATTTTGTTCTTTGTTAAAATTGGGCGAGCTTTGACAGGAAGGAACTCAACGTCACGCCACAAAAATGATGTCAAAGAAGGCAAGCGATCCATTCGTAAAAGTGCTATTCGAAAAGAACTTTATTTTTTCCTGTCAGTAGCATTTTTTTTTTTGACGGAWKACCCGATGACTGCCTTCATATTCAAACTCCGACTGAATTTTTTTTTGCTTTTATTCAAGCAAATGATCTCCCAGAAACCTTGAGTATTTTTAAGAATTTGTGTTCGAGTTTAGATGTCAACCCCAAGAATCATAAGACACTWTATACTTTTTTTTTGAATGGCCTTACTACTTGGAAAGCTCGATCKTTATGGACAAAACTTTTTTTTTTTGCCGAGCACAAAGAYTATAAAGGGAAACCTTGTGCTAAAAACAAAGTTCTAGTCATCGGAGCCGGTCCTTGTGGTCTAAGAGCCGCTATTGAGGCAGCACTTCTTGGAGCCCATGTCGTGGTTTTGGAAAAAAGAGAACGATTTTCACGTAACAATTTTTTTTTTTTGTGGCCTTTTCTYATCACTGATTTGAAAGATCTTGGAGCTAAGAAATTTTTTGGTCAATTTTGCGCTGGTTCATTGGATCATATCAGTAAGTTATTATGCAAAAGCAATAAAAATGTCAACTACTCTTGAATGGGCCTTGAAAAGGATAGCAACCCATACTCCTAAAATACAGATTAATCAGAAAGCAGAATTATTCCAGTTTCTTATTTTTTTTTTTTTTATTATTATAATTAAGCTGGAATACATATTGTATATTGTGCTACTTTTTTTTTTATTTAAGCTTAAGTATTATTTTTATTACAAGTGTAGTAATTCTTATTTTTTTTTGCGAAAATTATCGGTTTTCGTATTGCATAATTACACGTAGTTACTTTTTTTTTTTTTTTTTTTAAACGTACTGATGACGTGATTTTGATATCGTTGATTTGTTATGCAATATGAGTATTTGTTTTGGGATTAATTTAATATTTGTTTGCAGTTTCGTTTTTTTTTCACAATGCGTAATACAATCTAACATGTAGACTATCATATYTATACCTTTTTTTTTAAAAGCACRCACACAATGAATATTTTTACTTTGTAYAGGGCTTTAGTTTTTTTTTCRAGCATCCTGGAAAATCCAAAATATTTATTGCAATTCCAAGTGCTTTTTTTTTTAGTGCTTGACTTTATTTCCTTTATTTCGTTAACCCCAAATARAACATTTTTTTTTGCCAATCAAATGAGTCATAGCATGGCCTATTTATAATGCAAAATGTTACCAATATTTTTACACCTACTAACGAGGTTTGCATACTATACAACCATGAGTTATTTTTTTTTAGATATTCGTTGCTGTCAATCAACCTGCTTCGTCAAAAAGTGATTTTTTTTTTTTAATAATTTGTACAATTTTGAATGACACCATGAGTGATTGGTTCTACTTTTTTTTTAGTATACTAGTACTATAATTGCAGCAATGCGAAAAATATAAAAAATAATAATAATAAAAATTAAAATGAAACTGAATTTGCTGTTTTCAGGTATAAAGAGATTTTTTTTTATCCTCCTTAAAGTTTCTTTGTTATTTGGAGTTCAAGTACATCCAATTTTTTTTTTTGGAAAACTTATAGAACCAAAAAGTGGTAAGTTGAATTTGATTTTTTTTTTTTTTCAATAGCAAATTTAATGTTATTGACACTGTATACACACTCTGGAGTTTTTTTTTTTAAATAATCTTGCAAAGAAATTCAAAGTATGATATATGGAAATGGTTTTTTTTTGAGAGGTAAATTAGAGTGAGCTGTGTCTGTGTTTCTGAAGAAGCAGTTTTTTTTTAAGATAAATTTAACACCATAAAAAATAGGTCTAACTTGACTTACTGTTTTTTTTTATGTTAATCCTTCGTCGGAGTAAAGACAAAAATATATATAAATTGATTTTTTTTTAGAAAAAGGCACACAACTTGCAACTAAATATATATACACCTACTTGTTTTTTTTTTGTCATAAAAAATAGGACATTTGTACATTTGTAAAAAGGAATAAATTTTTTTTTTCAAAAGAAGATCACTGAGGCTGAACGCTTTCTTTTGTTTTG